AGTTGCATGCTGTATTAGTCAAGGTTCTCTAGAGGGACAGAACTAATGGGATATATATATATATATATATGAGTTTACTAAGTATTAAGTCACATGATCACAAGGTCGCACAATAGACTGTCTGCAGTCTGAGGAGCAAGGAGAGCCAGTCTGAGTCCCAAAACTGAAGAACTTGGAGTCCAATGTTTGAGGGCAGGAAGCATCCAGCATGGGAGAAAGACGTAGGCTGGGAGGCTAGGCCAGGCTCATCTTTTCACATTTTTCTGCCTTCCTTGTATTCTAGCCATGCTGGCAGTTGATTAGATAGTTCCCATCTAGATTAAGGGTGGGTCTGCCTTTCCTAGCCCACTGACTCCGATATTAGTCTCCTTTGGCATCACCCTCACAGACACACCAAGGATCAATACTTTGCATCCTTCAATCCAATCAAGTTGACACTCAGTATTAACCACTACACATGCGAAGGGCACAGCTTCTCCTGCAGGTCCTACACAACACTGAGGGTGGAGGACATGGTAGACAGATGCAGCTTCCAGTTTACCTTCATGGGTTCCTCATTTTCCACTAAGTTCCAGTTCATTCTTGGTCTCCATCACTTCATGTCCAGCTGTCCTTCCTGACTTCCAGCCTGGCTGACCTGTGTGAACTTTAGGCACAGCACCCAACACAGACACTTCAGCAGCCAAAGCAGTTGCGTAAGATCTAATTTCTAGAATACATTCCTTATGCTACGTCAGTCTTAGTGAATCTACTTCTCTGCTCAAACTCTTAACACATACAGTGGGGCTAGTAGCAGCAACCTCACAAGGTTACTTGAAGGATCAAATGAGATAATGGATGAGAAACTGCTTTGAAAAGTATAATGTGCTTTAGGTGTGCCTTTTTAAAAAATCGCATATAGAAAAATGTATTAATGAAACTCAAAAGTTTAATTCTTTCAGCTATTTTAAAAGCAAAACAAAACTGCAAGCAGAACTCCTGGTCTCCCTAAGCCCTGCTCCACTATCTTCTCTCCAGTTGCTCAAGCCACAGTTCCTAGATGACCTTTGACACCGTTCTCTCCTACACACCCTTGCTCATATTCAGAGCTTAGTCACATCTCATGGCCTACACTGCTAACACCCTGGTACAAGCCACCATGCCTCTTGTCAGGTTTATGGCAACAGTCTTCTCCCTGGACCCTTGCTTGTACTCTTGCCCCAAAATGATCTGGTAAAAACTCGAGTTAGATTATCTCATTCTCTGCTCAAAGCCAGTCAGTTTCTTCCCTCTTGGAGGAAAATCCAAATTCCTCTTGATGACCTGACGGGCGCTTGGCTCTTCCTGCGTCTCTCATCTTATTTCCTACCACCTTTTCCCTCGCTCACTCGGCTCACCATACTGGCTTCCTTGCTGCCCTTAAACAGGCCAAGTGTGTGCCACTTCTTAAAACCCTTTTTCCTGTTTTTCAGAGAGAAGGAATCATACCCTGAAATGATGTGTCTCTGGTGTGACTATTGGCTTAGACACATCTGGGAACTTTGCTTGCCACCCGTACACAAGTACTTACCAGTAAACTATGCAACCACAGACGAAAGCTGGATGTCATTCTGGAAAATGCTTTTTACTAGGAATTAAACGGGAAATGAGGTTGCTGTTAGTCTTATGGTTTAGAGTGACAATTTAGATTTTAATTATTACTATCCACAACAACATCTTGCATCTCTGTAGCTATCCAGGGTTTTCAAAATGCTTTCACGTCTATTATTTACTTTGGTCCTCACAACAGAATGAACAATTGGGTATTATTTTCCCCTGTTTTACAGATAGGAAAACTAAGGCTCAGAGGAATCAATTAACTCCAGAGTCAAAGAGATAGTGGTTGACAAGATTAACTTTCAGGCGGATTTGCTGATTCAAGGCTCTGTACTTTTTGTACTACAATTAGGAGCTTGCCAGAAGAACTTTATTTGTAAGTAGGGTCAGATGCAACGCAAAGAAAGTTACTCTTGCCATTGCCACTGCCCATGATTCAAAATGCTCCCAGCATGCTGAAACTTTTGAAAATTTTACACTTCCTTTCCAATGCAAATATCCCTGGAATTTGTGTGCAGCGTCAACCATTTTGCTTTCCTCCTGAGATACCGCCACAGCAGAAATGGCCTTATTTATTAATTAGCTGGGTGTGGTCGTGGGCATCTGTAATCCCAGCTACTCAGGAGGCTGAGGCAGAAGAATCACTTCACCCAGGAAGGTGGAGGTTGCAATGAGCCAAGATTGCACCACTGCACTCCAGTCTGAGCAGCAGAGTGAGACTCTGTCTCAAAAAAAAAAAAAAGAAATGGCCTTTTTTGTTTTATGGGAAATTGAGGAAGAGAGAATGGAGAAGTGTTAGGTGACAAAAAATTATTTGCTTAATGAGACTTTAATCGTGCTCCTGAAACTTTTTCTAGGCCCATCTGTACACTTCCTTACAAAATCCAGTTTTAACAAATACCCTGCTAAGTCATTTTAGCAAGAATGCCCCACCCTTTGTATATGATCAGGTTTCTCATCCTCCACCATCCCCCAGGTGACCTCAGACCACCCTGGCCTGCCTTCAGCAAGAATCCTGTTAGGTCTGTGTTTTAGTCAGTTCTTGCACTACTATATACAAGTACCTGAGAATGGGGTATTTTTAAAGAAAAGAGGTTTAATTGGCTCACAGTTCTGCAGGCTGCACAGGAAGCATGATACTGGCATCTGCTTGGTTTCTGAGAAGGCCTCAGAAAACTTACAATTATGGCAGAAGCTAAAATGGGAGCCAGCATATCACATGGCTGGAGCAGAAGGAAAGAGAGGGAGGGGAAGAGGTGCCACACATTTTTAAGCAACCAGGTCTTGTGATCACTCACTCACTATCCCAAGAACAGCACCAAACCAACAGGATGGTGCTAAACTATTCATGAAGGACCACCCCATGAGCCAATCACCTCCCACCAGACCCCACCTCCAATGTTGGGGATTACAATTTGACATGAGATTTGGTGGAAACATAGATCCAAGCAATAATAGTCAGTTTAGCCAGAATTCTCCTTACTAATTTCTCAGTAATTTTCCATCCACCCACTCCCATCCTGCTTCTTGGCTATAAATTCACACTTGCCCATGTTATATTCAGCGTTAAACCGAATCTCTCTCCCACTGTGCAAAATCCCATTACAGTGCTCCCTGTACCTATTGCAATGATCACGAATAAAGTTTTCCTTACTGTGCTTTAGCAAGTATTATTGAATACTCCCGTTTCTTTAGCATAAGAAGTATATCATTCAGGTAAGTGGAGTAGGCATAATATCCTCACTTTTTGATTGGGCAATATGATTCAAAGTGCTCAAAACAAGTTGTCAAAGGGCAAAATCATATCATGTTGTTTCCCTTGTAGAATGAAGGATATTGGATTAAATACTGCTAAATTTGTTTCTGACATCCCATGAGCCCAACTTGCTGAACTTTTGTAGCAATGTTGTGATGAGGGGGCTGCAGAGAAGTGTATCCTTTATAAAAAGTTAGAAAAGGTCATATTTCTCAGCACTACAGGCATGCCCTATAAAAGCAAACAAGTGTTTCAAAAAATATAGGATTTTCTATCACTCAAGTAAGAACCTTTGTTATACCGCTGGGACATTTGTCGCAGACTCAGAAGTGCAATGTGTTTTGCAAAGTGGAAAAGATTCTGGAATTTGGAGCTAAGAAACCCTGAGTGCATGTGTCATGGTTCTCATAGTTATTGTTTATTACTAATACTATTGCTATTTTTTTGGACACCAATACCAGTATTTTGTATTTTCCCTGCATTTTCTCACTTAACTAATCCCACCCCCCAGCAATTCTGTTAGGGAGATGTTATTACCTCCATTTTATATATGAAGAAATGGAGGCTTAAGATCACAAAGCTGTTATGTGTAAGAGCTGGGATTTTTTTTCTTATTTTCTTTTTAGAGACAGAGTCTCATTTTGTCACCCAGGCTGGAGTGTAGTGGCATAATCATAGGTCACTGCAGCCTTGAACTCCTGGGTTGAAACCATCTTCCTGTCTCAGCCTCCCGAGTAGCTGGGACCACAGGCCTGCATGACCATGCCAGCAAGGGCTGGGATTTTAACATGGGTCTCTCCCACTCTCAAATCGATGTTAGTCAGGAGTTTTGGGGAGGGCACAAAACTAGAGGTGATTGCTTTAATTGAATTTAAAAGATTTTAGGTAAAGTCCATTTGAATCCTAAAGGTTGCTTACTACTATGAGATACTGCCTCCTTTGCAGGATTGTTTTGAGATTAGAGAAACCCATTGATATGGTTTGGCTCCCCACTGAAATCTCATCTTAAATTACAGCTCCCATAGTCCCCATGTGTCATAGGAGGAACCTAGTGGGAGGTAATTAAATCATGGGGCTGGGCTTTCCCAGGCTGTTCTCATAATAGTGAATAATTCTCATGAGATCTGACGGTTTTATAAAGGGTTGGTCCCCTACACACGCTCTCTTGCCTGATGCCATGTAAGACGTGACTTTGCTCCTCCTTCACCTTCTGCCATGATTGTGAGGCCCTCCCAGCCATGTGGAACTGTGAGTCCATTAAACCTCTTTCCTTTATCAATTACCCAGTCTCAGATATGTCCGTATAGCAGCATGGAGAATGGACTAATACACCCATACAAAGGACCCAGCATAAGGCCTGGCACATAGTTGGTACTGAGTAAATGGAACAGGAGGTGGTATAGGATGGTGATTGGGAACCTTGCTCTGGAGTGAGACTTAGGGACTACAAATCACTTCTTCCACTTAGTAGCTGTGTGACCTTGGGAAAGTCATATAATCCCTCTAAGGCTAACTTTTGTTCACATATAAAATGGGGATGATAACCAATGTATTCCAAGGATTAAATGAATGAGCTGATATGCATGAAGAACCTAGAACTCTTCCTGGCTCATTGTTGTCATCAGGAAATTTTGACTGTTATTGTTATTAATATGATTATTTTTTTCAGTCTCTACCTGTGCTGCTCGCTCCAAGAACAAGGATGGTGGCAGGAGTTGTGGTGAGTAGTGAATGGGGAGGGAAGTGGATATGGTTTGGATGTGTGTCCTCTGTAAATCTCATGCTGAAGTGTGATCCCCAGTATTGGAGGTGGGGCCTGATTGGAGGTGTTTGGGTCATGGAGCAGGTCCCTCATGAATATCTTGGTGAGGTCCTTGGGTAATGAGTGAGTTCTCACTCTATTAGTTACCGTGAGATCTCATTATTAAAAAGAGTCTCTGACCAGGTGCAGTGGCTCACACCTATAATCCCAGCACTTTGAGAAGCCAAGTAGGGAGGATTTCTTGAGCCCAGGAATTCAAGACCAGCCTGGGCAATGTGGCGAAACCCCATCTCTACAAAGAATAAAAAATTTTCCCAAGTATGATGTATGTGCCTGCAGTCCTAGCTACTTGGGAGGCTGAGGTAGGAGGCTCACTTGAGCCCAGGAGGTTGAGGCTGCAGTGAGCCATGGTTGTACCACTGCACTCCAGCCTGGGTGATAGAACAAGACCTTCTCTCAAAAAATAAATGTATAAAAAGTAGAGTCTGGGGCCTTCCCACTCTCTCTTGCTTCCTGTCCCACCATATTCCATGCCTACTCCCCCCTTGCTTTCTGCCATGAGGAAAAGCTTCCTGAGGCCTCACCAGAAGCTGAGCAGATGCCAGTGCCATGCTAGTACAGCCTGCAGAACTGTGAGCCAAATAAACCTCTTTTCTTTATGTTACCCAGTCTCAGGAATTACTTCATAGCAATGCAAAATGGACGAACACAGAAGTGAACACCCCACATTTCTTTGGGGCCTACTCTTCAGCAAGCTCCCTAGCATGATGAGAAGGCCTCCAACGGTCTGCTGGACCCATTTCTCCATCTTCTATCAGCTCAAGCTCCCTTGAGAGGCTTGGATAGGGGGCACCAGTGAACCTGTGAGGAGAGCAGCTTAGGCCCTGCAGTAGGGGAGGGCAGAGAGTGAGGGGGTTGAGGCAAGCAGGAGAGGAAAGTGCTGGCATTCCTAGGAGGTAGGGCAGAGACACTGGGAACCCCAGGCTAGGTGTCAGATTCCCAAGATGTGGTGGTTTTGTATTTACATCCCTGTGTGGGCAGGGCAGGGGGCCAGGGACTCAGACAGTGAAGCTTCAGGCTGACTGTCACAGGTGCAACACTGGCAAGCCGGGGCTGGTAGCTTGGTTTTTCCAAGGGATCAAGGGCACGATGGACTATCTAGAGGTTTTGTGCTCTTTTTTGTGACAAAGTGACTAAGACCTCCAGCCTGCCCAAGCCTCAGGTCAGCGAAGGTAAGAGTAGGTGTGGGGTGTGTGGTGTGGAAAGGCCTGCTCCTATCAGATGAGGATGCTTCTCCTGTTGAGAGGGCTTGTGTGTGACTGGGGCCATGGAGCTGCCCAGAGATGAGTGACCAGCACTGCTCTTCAAGCAGTTAAAGCAGCCTGCTCTCCCCAGCAGAAATGAACATGAAACCTCCAGACATCAGACCCTGCACTACCTCCTGCCTCCAGGATATCCCAAGAGGCCCCGGGGGCATCATCTCTGACCTCAAGAACAGAGTTTAATTTTGGGTGTTTTTCAGTTGTCTTTATCTTTTCTAATGCTGGAAATATAAGCTGTTCATACTATTTGGTGAAAATGGGGAAAAGATTGTGTCTACCACAATGACTACCACAGTGGAAAAGAGCACGGTGTCTGACTTGTAGTTGCTGCTCAATAAATATTTATTGAATGGCTGAATGAAGCTCAGACAGGGAAAAAGACTTGAAGGAAAAAAGTCCCTCTAAAACGTTGTTATTGGTTGGTGGTAGGATTAGTGGTGATTTTTTACATCTTCTCTAGCGTCTGGAGTTTTGTATTGTGGTAATAAGATTATTATAATAACAGGTAATTATGACCAAAAGGAAATTAGAGCCAAAATTAAGTGGTCATTTTCATATGAAGCACAGGCCTGCTTGCAGCATCAGCAGTTCAGCTGTGGGAACCAAGGCCTGTTGAGGGGACACATTTTTACATCTATTTCAGGTCATGTATTTCCACCTCTGCTCTTCCTCTTCAAAAAGAAGGAAATCTATCTCTACTCCAAGTGAACACATGCTGACCTTCTTCCTCCCTAAACTAGTGCCTCGTCTAAAATCCTGCCGAGATTCTAGAGCGGCAAGGTTTTATAGTGGTTAAGGGGCTTTAGGATAGACACATCATCTGGGTGCCTTATAATGTACTGCTAATTCTGAAAAAAAATTTCCTCATGGTATATATTTTTTCCAAAAAGCATTTTCTCCTTATTTTAACACCACATTGCAACCTAAAGTTGGCAGTAAACAGTCTGTCCCTTTACTGTGAACTAGCACAGTCCTAAAGATTGTCCAACCAAGAACAGATTAGATTGGGGGAAACTCACTCCCAGGCCTCCCTGTTCTTTTATGAGGAGTTCATCCTAAAATATTTACCCATTGTCTTCCAACCCCATAACCCCCTAGGCTAAAGTGAAGCCTGCTAAGGGAGCTGTGGTCATTTGAGGATTAGGCCAGAAGAGCTGGCTCCTGTGCTATCGGGTGACAAGATTCAGAGACAAGATAGAAGCACCTTCCTCATCTCCTGAGACCTAGTCGCCAACTCTACAGGAAAGTTACGGTTGCTATGGTGACAGGCTACATAAGGCACACTGTCAGCAGAAGTGCCATTTTAAAAATAACTCCACCTTTTCTTTCTGCTTTTCTTTCCTTTTCGTTTTGAGACAGGATCTAGCTCTGCCACCCAGGCTGGAGTACAGTGGCACCATCACAGCTCACTGCAGCCTTTACCGGGCTTAAGCGGTTCTCCCCACTCAGCCTCCCAAGTAGCTGGGACTACAGACATGCACCACCATGCCCAGCTAATTTATTTTTATTTTTTGTAGAGATGGAGCCTCATTATGTTGCCCAGGCTGGTCTCGAACTCCTGGGCTGGAGGGATTCTCCTGCCTCAGCCTCCCAAAATGCCTGGATTATAGGCATGAGCCACTGCACCTGGCCCTCCACCTTTCCTCAAACTTTTCAGGAACCCTCTTTGACAAAGGGTCAGGTTAAGATGCTTGAACTTTTGGATAAAGAACAAGGCCGGGAGCCGTGGCTCATTTCTGTAATCCTAGCACTTTGGGAGGCCAAGGTGGGTGGATCGTTTGACTTCAGGAGTTCGAGACCAGCCTAGACAACATGGTGAAACCCAGTCTTTACAAAAAATACTAAAACAAATTAGCCAGGTGTAATGGTGTATGCCTGTAGTCCCAGCTACTTGGGAGGCTGAGTGGGGAGGATTGCTTGAACCCGGGAAGTTGGGGCTGCAGTGAGCCATGGTGGAGCCACTGCATTCCAGCCTGGGTGATAGAGCCAGATCCTGTCTCAAAATAAATAAATAAAAAACAAACAAATAAATAAATAAATTTTAAAAAATGAAGAAGAAGAAAAGAAAAGAAAAACATCGTGTCTGAGAATTCCTAATAGAGATTTGATTTAGCCCCATTTGTCCCACCCCCACACCCCCCTTAAGAAAGAAAGAAGACAGAAAGAAAAGCGGGAGAGGGAGAAAGACAGAAAAAAAAAAAGAAAAAGAAGGAAAGAAAATTAGCCTTATTGCCAGAGGATGATTCCCTGTGGGTAATTCTCATTCAAGTCACTTTGCTTCTTGAGGCCTCAGTTTCCTCATCTGTAAAATGGGAACAATAATCCTCACCTCATAGGGTTGTTGTGCAGATGAAATGAGATGAAATATGTGAGAAGATTCCCTTCCCTCCTTTCTCTACAAAATGTCAGGACTGCGCCTATCACAGGAGAACAGTAATCTTCTCCTCAGTGCAGATTGTCAACCGCTGTACCAACCTGTGCTAAGTCTGTCCACACAGACTACCTGAGTCAGAGCTTTTCATTAACGCCAGGGGAATTCCAGCTCAGCTCCGTCGTCAAGGAGTTCTGAGTCATGTTTCAATCAAGGATTTACTGCAGGAGTACTTCGGGAAAGAAGGACACGTGCTGCTCTGAGGAATTGGGACCACACCCTGGTGCTTGGGAATTGGTAGCGGTGGTTGCATTTTGTTGTTGGCTTGTTTGTTTTAAAATATCCACATCCTGTCCCACAGCTGGAGCATAAAATCAAGCTTTAGTTGTGGGATTTTTGTTTACTTTATTCACTAGTTGGGCTGGTCAGGAGTTTAACAGAGGTCAATGCCTTTAACATTGCTTGGATTCTGTAAAGAGAATTCTAGCAGTTTTTGGCTACTAAATATCCAAGTGTAAAAGAGGAACTTAAAAATATTGACCCATATGGTCTGGTTGCTTTTAGGAGAAATTAATTTTTGTGTTGCTTGCAAAAATAATAACAACTTCTGAATGTTTGTATGTTTTCATTTTGCACAGGAAGCTTTGGCAATAGAAAATGTTGGTAGAAAAAGTAATTAAAGAAATAAATGCGGCAACTCTCACAGCTGTAAATCATTGATTTAGCCCCATTTGTCCCACCCCCACACCCCCCTTAAGAAAGAAAGAAGACAGAAAGAAAAGCGGGAGAGGGAGAAAGACAGAAAAAAAAAAAGAAAAAGAAGGAAAGAAAATTAGCCTTATTGCCAGAGGATGATTCCCTGTCAGTTTTCAAAAATCTTCCTCATGTCCCTTCTCACAGAACATTTCAGAGATCTGGAAAGTATTTGATTTGTAAAGACTGAGAGTAGACAAAGTAGAGCTTCTTAAAAATATCTTTCAAAATTGAGTAACACCCTGTGCTGTTTTCATGATGAACATAATACTTGTTTATTCAAGAAAAATGAGAAAATATTGAAAAGCAGTAAGAGAAAGAATCCCTGTGCCCAGCTGCAACTATGACTGACATTGGGTGTATTTTCCAGCAGTCTTTTTACTTTACCTGTGTCTCCTCACTTGTTTTTGATGGAGATAATGATGGGGCGTATGTGCATTTGCACTCTGGGTCTTTCACGTAACAGCAGCATTTGCTGAAGGCTTGCCGAGTGTGGGTACCGTCTGCCACTGCTCAGGGCCTTTAAGCCAGGCTGACAGTCTCATATGTCCACTCGTTATTTAGCAGCAGCAGCAGCAGAAGTTACATAACCATAACTCAGTTTCTCTTTGTTTCCTTGGCTCCACAACATGTGAAAACAGCTGGATAAATTTCATCCAGTTTGAAGGGTATTTGAAGGTGGTTTCACTTCAAATATGGGGTATATGACAACAATTTCACCATGGGAAGCTCAGGGTGAAGGGGAGCCTCGGTTTTTTTATTTCCACCCAGAAGGAGGACTGTGACACTTCATTCTGAAGATTTCCCTCAGTTCAGACATTTACCTTATTTAAAGTTTGCTATAATTCTATGAATGGAGAAGCTTCTCAGGTTCATTATATTTCCAAAACATTACTTTCCCTCAGTGGGTGCACATAAGAAATTATACCTTACTGAAACCCCTTTAAAGGCATTAATTCAATGTCAGGAAGAATTTTTTTCAGAAGAAAACGTTTTTAAAGAGTCTAAAATATTAGAATGGGAAAGATGTTTGCGGCCCAAAGAAGAGACATGCAATGAGATTTCTTAGGGCAGCTGACCGAGAGAGACACACTTTTCCAAGGCACCTGGGGAAGATGTCTGACCCGGGCATGTTGAAACACTAAGTCGATGGGTGTTCATCCTCTGCAGCAATGAAACTTAGGCACAAAGAGGGACCCTTATGATGCCAACTGGGAGATACAGGTCATTGGATTAAGCTGCCAGGGTCATACAAAACCAACGGTGGTTTCAAATATGAGGCTTAACCCAAAATTCCTCTTGGCAGGTACTCCACAATGTAACAATGAAGCTGTTTCTCACATGGCAGCTCCGTGGACTCTTCAGGGTGAGACGTGAAGATGTTTATCCATATCCCAACAACTAAAGTGTGTATCCAGGCATTTTTTTTTTTCTTTTTACTGAGCTGAAAATTATTAGAGGTCTCTTTGAATTATTCTCTCTGTGAACATTGATTTTCAAGGAGTTTCTATTAAACTTGATGATTCTTCTGAGCAATGATCGCTTGGAATTATAACAATGTCTATTTTGATGGAGTTAAACACTCACTAATACTCAATTAGAAATATGCTAGATGCTGTCCTTAGTACACTACATGCTTCATTTCAAATAATCCCTACAGCAATTCCAGGAGATAGGTATAGGCACACCTCATTTTATTAAGCTTCACTTTATTTTTATTTTATTTTAAACATTTTTTATGGATACACAGTAGGTGTACATACTTATGAGTTACATGAGATGTTTTCATACAGGATACAATGTGTAACTATCACATCAGGGTGAATTTTAGGTTTTCCCATTTATTGCCATATAGTCGCTCATAGTGACCTCTAAATATCCTTTGAATTTCTGTAGTATCGGTTGTAATATCTCCATTTTCATCTCTGATTTTATTTATTAGGGTCTTCTCTCTCTTTTTCTTAGTCTGGCTAAAGGTTTATCAATTCTCTATCTTTTTTAAAAAACAACTTTTTGTTTTGTTGATTTTTGTCTTGTTTTCTTCATTTCAGTTTTATTTATTTTTGCTTTTATTTTATATTTTTATTTTTATTTTTGAGTTGGAGACTCGCTCTGTTGCCTGGACTGGAGTGCAGTGGTGCGATCTCGGCTCACTGCAACCTCTGCCTCGCAGGTTCAAGCAATTCTCCTGCCTCAGCCTCCTCAGTAGCTGGGACTACAGGCGTGCGCCACCATGTCCAGCTAATTTTTGTACTTTTAATAGAGATGGGGTTTCACCACATTGGCCAGGATGGTCTCGATCTCTTGACCTTGTGATCTGCCCGCCTTGGCCTCCCAAAGTGCTGGGATTACAGGCATGAGCCACCATGCCTGGCCCTGCTTTGATTTTTATTATTTCTTTTGTTCTACTAACTTTGGGTTTGGTTTGCTCTTGCTTTTCTACTTCTTTAAGAGGCATCATTAGATTGCTTATTTGAAGTTTTTCTTTCTTTCTTTCTTTTTTTTTTTTAAAGGCAGAGTCCCAGTCTGTCACGCCCAGGCTGGTATGCAGTAGCTTGATCTTGGTTCACTGCAGCCTCAGCCTCTCGGGCTCAAACTATCCTCCCACCTCAGCCTCCTGATTAGTTAGGACTACAGGTGCATGCCACCATGCCTAACTAATTTTTTCTTTTTTGTATTTTTGGTAGAGACAGGGTTTTGACATGTTGCCCACCCAGATTGAGGGTGGGTCTGCCTCTCCCAGTCCACTGACTCAAATGTTAATCTCCTCTAGCAACACCCTCACAGACACACCCAGGGTCAATACTTTGTATCCTTCATCCTAATTCTTTTTTCTGCTTGATTAATTCTGCTAATAAGAGACCCTGATGCATTCTTCAGTATGTTGACTACATTTTTTTAACTCCAGAATTTCTGTTTGATTCTTTTTAATTGTTTTAATTTCTTTGTTAAATGTATCTGATAGGAACCTGAATTCCTTCTCTGTGTTATCTTGGATTTCTTTGAGTTTCCTCAAAACAGTAAATTCTCTCTCTCTGGAATTGGCCCCTGGTGCCTTATTTAGTTCGTTTGTTGAGGTCATGTTTTCCTGTATGGCCTTGATGCTCGTGGATGTTCTTCAGTGTCTGGGCATGGAAGAGTTAAGTATTTATGGTAGTCTTCACAGTCTGGGCTTGTTTATACTTGTTCTTTTGGGAAGGTTTTCCAGGTACACAAGGGCACTTGGGTGTTGTGATTTGAGTTTTTGG